CACGCTGGACCCTAGCCTCTGGGAAAGGGTCAGAGTTCACCTCTCATCACAAGGTTAGGCAGCCACCTCCTGTGAAGGGAAACTCTCAGCTGGTGTATCATGTCCCAGCCACGAAGCTCCCTTCATCCCTGGAATGGGTGATGCATTGTTCCTAACTTCTGTAATTCTTGTCTGTCTCGGTTATGACAGTTCCAGGCACGTGCCTTGGACTGCCTGGGCATGAGATTTGGCACTGCCTCTTCTCTGTGTGACTTAACTCATCCGAGCCTGTTGAAGGCAGGGGGATAATAAGACCTGCCCCAGGATGGGGTGGGGTTTAGTTAAAAGAGGTGGCAGACAGGCTCGGTGCGGCAGCTTACACCTGTAATCCCAGGGTAAGGCGGGTGGATCACCTGAGGTCAGGAGTTTGAGACCAGCCTGGCCAACATGGCGAAACCCCGTCTCTACTGAAAATACAAAAATTAGCCAGGCATGGTGGTGCAAGCCTGTAATCCCAGCTACTCAGGAGGCTGAGGCGGGAGAATTGCTTGAACCGGGGAGGTGGAGGTTGCAGTGAGCTGAGATCACCCCACTGCACTCCAGCCCAGGTGACAGAGTGAGACGTGATCTTAAAAAAGAAAAGAAATAAAAATCCATGGTGGTAGAGACAGTGTTCAGCCTATAGTGAGTAGGGCCCTGGGAACTGTTAGCTACTTGATGTTACAGTGGCAGAGTGGGATGGCGCAGTTCTAAATCCAGCATGTCCGCCACTCTGGATAGGTCATGTTAGATAAAGCAGTTGGCTTGTGATGGGGGCCATGTTATCTGGAAATGCCAGCCTTGAATAATGAAGTCAGTGAGATACATAGAAAGAGGTGGGAGAGATTCGTATCCACCAGTACACACCTGATGCTAATTTAATTTCTCTTGTCCTGATTCTAAGAACATGTAGTTAAATTTGTATGTTATTTACCTTCCCTGTATATTGATCAAGGAGGTAGTATGTCAGTCTTTGTCTCGGGTTTCTCCGTCTGCAAAACAGGAATAACAGTACTCACCACATTTAAAGATTAAATGAGTTAAGATGGGTAAAGCCAAAACAGTGCCTGACAAATAGTAAGCACTGAAAAAAAGATGACCTTATTATTAGGGGGGATTCTTATGTATTTATGTATGTGGGAGGAAAGGCCTGGGAGAGAAGCTTTTATTCCTGGATTTTGAGCTGTGGGTGTTGAGGTCTGAGAAAGGAAGCAGGAGGTGTAGGGAGTCGGGAGGGCTTCCAGGCTAAGAGAACACAGCAGCACATGCCTCAAGGCTAGATTGTCTTGGCCTGCGTGTAGACTAAAGCGGGGTGGGGGAGGAACTGAGCTGGGCATCTTTTTTTTTTTTTTTTATTTTTTGAGACGGAGTCTGTTGCCGGGGCTGGAGGGCTGGAGTGCAGTGGCCAGATCTCAGCTCACTGCAAGCTCGGCCTCCCGGGTTTACGCCATTCTCCTGCCTCAGCCTCCCGAGTAGCTGGGACTACAGGTGCCCGCCACCTCGCCTGGCTAGTTTTTTGTATTTTTTAGTAGAGACAGGGTTTCACCGTGTTAGCCAGGATGGTCTCGATCTCCTGACCTCGTGATCCGCCTGTCTCGGCTTCCCAAAGTGCTGGGATTACAGGCTTGAGCCACTGTGCCCGGCTGAGCTGGGCATCTTTTAGTCACGGGTGCAGGTTCTGAAGTTGGTGTATGCTGTCTACACAGCTGTGGCTATAAGGCAATGAGGGTGGTTAATTTCACTACAAACGTAGGGTCGTGATAAAAACAGAAGGAATTTTAAATGAAATCACATTGAATTATGCAACGAGAAGAAAGTGTATTTAAGTGCTCAGCTTGCTCCTGGGGGGCACCCAGGTAGCTGGTGCCATTTATTGTGGGTTTTCTTCCTGGACTCTCTCTCCAGTACCCACAGGTCTTGTTCTAGGGGCTTGAGACTTTTCCTGAATGTTGAGATACGGGTTTTAGAAGGCGTGCTGCCCACACGTCGGGTAGGCTGGTGACTAGTTGGCACTGCTGAGGCCCTGGGGGAAGTCCCAGGGTGGTTAATCATTGTCAACCTGGGTCTGTCTAGGAGGTGAGACTCCTGTCTGGCTTCTTGTTGACCCAGTTAGGGGCTGTCTGAGGACTGGGTTTCAATGTTGCCTGCGAAACCCAGCACACATTAGAACCCTGGGTCCTGGATGAAGGCGAAGGAGGTCACATCCTTTAGTCCAGGCCTCTGGTTTGCCACCAGCTCCTGGCCACAAACAAACCCTGTGTGTCTTCCCCCCAGAGCACTTTGGGGTGATGGACCCTCCTGGAGACACCAGGTACACCAGGGAGCCCCACCTCCTACTCTATGCCAGGCCCACTAGGTTACTTAGTTGGCTGGTTTGGCCTGAGGTGAAATGCTTGAAAGTAATGATTATTCTGAAAGGATACTCCAGCAGCTTCCCTGGGATTCTGGTCGCTTCATCTCGTAGGAACTGGCCATAGGTCAGCCAGCCTGTTCTTCCGGGTCAGGGCTTGGGAGAAAAAGGGCTGAGAAGCAGCTGATTGGTCTGACTCAGGCATATCCCCTGTCCTTGGGGGTTGGGGGAAGTTCCTTGACATGTGCTGGCACACATCCTGGATCATGTGAGACACAGAAAGCCTATGTGCTGTGTTTCAGCACACATATTTATAATCTGAACAATGCTGCTTTAATATGCATATTAATCATCCAGGCATGACTTGTGTGTGTTAAAATGTCTTGTGAAAATCCTGCTTCAGGCTGGGCGCAGTGGCTCATGCCCGTAATCCCAGCACTTTGGGAGGCTGAGGTGGGCAGATCACAAGGACAAGAGATCGAGACCATCCTGGCCAACATGGTGAAACCCCGTCTCTACTAAAAATACAAAAATTAGCTGGGTGTGGTGGCTCATGCCTGTAATCCCAGCTACTCAGGAGGCTGAGGCAGGAGAATCGCTTGAACTCTCAACAGAGGTTGCAGTGAGCCGAGATTGCACCACTGCACTCCAGCCTGGCGACAGGGAGACTCCGTCTCAAAAAAAAAAAAGAAAATCCTGCTTCAGGACATCTAGCTTAGTGCCTGAGATTTCTTCAGCAGCTCCCAGTTCCAACAGTTATTCCGACCAGCTCTCAGGTGATGGTACTGTAGCCTGTGTGGCTTCTGGGCCACATGGGGAGTAGCAGCAGAGGTCCAGTTGCCCCATGCAATGGGCAGGTGCACCCACCACAAATTGCACCTCTGCCGCCACTGGGCACATCAGACTGGGCTCCACGGCGCCCCCTGGTGGGCAGTGCCAGTGGCGCCAGTGCAGCTCGGAGCCAGCAATACAAGGTGTGGCTTCTAGAAGGTACCCTGGTTTGAGATGCCGAGGTAGGAGGATCCCATGAGGTCAGGAGTTTGAGGCCAGCCTGGGCAATGTAGCCAGGCTCTGTTTCTACAGAAAATTAGCCGCACATGGTGGCACACACCTGTGGGCCCAGCTGGAGGATCACTCAAGCCCTGGGAGTTCTAGCCTGCAGGGAGCCGTGATCACACCACTGCACTCCAGCCTGGGTGACTGAGTGAGACCCTGTCTCTAAGATAGATGGATGGATGGATGGATGGATGGATGGATGGATGGATGGATGGATAGAAGATAAACTGCGAGGCTAGCACGGGTTGTCTGGCAGGCGCTGGTATGTCTCCACGATGGAGCCCAGAGGCTGGGAGACCCCGTGCATATGGGCAGCAGCTTTTTGGGGAAGGTTTTCCCAGGCACGGTTCCAGGACACAAGGGTGTGGTGTGAGTGACCTGGAGCTGTTTGTGGCTCAGGGATGGGGGCCTGGAGGTCTCATATTGTCCCTAGGCTTTTGTAATATTTTTGCCAACCAAAGGTGGAACAAACAGCAAAGGCAAGTGACTTGGAAAACTCGGTTTCAGATGGCATTTGTGCACTGGAGTTTTTTACTTGTTCTCTATCTAATCCTGGCCCCACCTCTTAGATGGGCTATATGACCTTGGAGAATAACCTAGTCTGTGTGTCAGTTTTCTTTTTCTAGAAGGTGAGCTCCCCAGTCTCCCTAGAGGGAGATACATACAGGTTCTTGCATCCAACAAAATCTGTGTGCCCACAACGTTGCAGGCAATGGGCCAGCCCAGAGGTCACACAGCCTGCCAACCCATCAGTGTGGCCCTGGCCCTGGCCCTATGTGTTAGCTGATTTACCTGACCAGGAGGGGCAGCAGTGGGGAGGCCGAGTCCCAGAGGTGAGGGTGAACCTGCAACGGATCTGGGGAGTCCCCCTCCAGTTAACTCCCCCCAGGCTTTCTGCCTGTGCCTCCTTCATCCTTCCCTCCTTGGGAACTTGGGACTCTGAGCCCCAGCTGGTGAGGGAGTAAGGGAGTGAGCGACAGGCCGGCAGACCAATGGGCCCTGGAGGATGGGGTGAGGCGGGGCTTGTGCTGCCATGGAGAGGAGAGAAGCGGTTCTGTGGGGGAGGAGGGGGTGGGTGGGAAGAGGACCTGGAGATTGAGGGGAAGGGAGAGAGCAAACAAAGGGGTCAGGAGGGAAAATAATGCACTGGCTTCCTGAGCCCCTGCAGAGGCTGAGCAGGGAGAGGGGGCCAGGGCCAGAGGGGACAGAGGCTGGCGGCAGACAGGCCGGGGCAGGCAGGTCCTAAATGGCATTGTTTGAAGGGGCTGGCTAATTGCACAGAGCAGGCTGAGCCTAAGACCCCAGCCCTGGCCCCCGCCTCTGTCCTGGGTGCTGGCGTCTGAGCCTTCGGGACAACCTGTCCACATGGAACCAAGTCCTGAGCCTCCGAGCTTGGTGAGGGGGAGGCTATGGGGGGCAGCCTGGGTGGGGTGCTTGGGGAAGAGCATCACCCTAAGAATGCATCCTGGGGCCTTGGCCTGGGAACATAGAGCCCATGGCGGGGCGTCTGGGGGAACACTGCCCCTCTCGTGTCCCTGCTTCCCTTCCACCCCACCCGTTCTGGCTTCTCCCACAGGAAAGCATGAAGGGAGACACCAGGCATCTCAACGGAGAGGAGGACGCCGGCGGGAGGGAAGACTCGATCCTCGTCAATGGGGCCTGCAGCGACCAGTCCTCCGACTCGCCCCCGATCCTGGAGGCCATCCGCACCCCGGAGATCAGAGGTGGCTGGGCAGTGGGGACTGGGGTGGTGTCAGGCGCTGACACATTGAGCGGTCACTGCAGACCACTGGAGGCTTTGGGGAGAGTCTCTGACAACCTCCACCACAATTCCCTGGGAGGGAAGAGAGCTCCAGCAAGGAGGGATGCAGGGCTGAGCCCTTCACGCCTGCCCGCAGCCCTTGGCCTCCCCTTTGAGACTGTCATCTCAACTGGGACTCTGAGCGTGACACAGGGTTGATGGTTCCCTGTTCTCCGCCAGTCATGACAGCATGGGCCCTCAGAGAGCTCTTCTGCAGTGGGACCCTCTCCCCACTCAGAGGTGGGCTGGGGTTGGGAGGGGAGGTCTGGAGTGTGCTTCCTTTCCACCCTGCCCTGAGCAGCTCCAGCCAGCTCACTTGGGATTCCGCCCCAGCTGGGCTGGAAAGCCCTGCATTGTCCTCTCAGCTGTGCCATCCCATGGAACTTCCTGCGGGCGTGAAAGGGTTCTATTTCTGCATTGTTCCCCACAATAGCCACACTCGACATGGGAGCACTTGAGAAGTGGCTGACACGGCAGGCAGTGAATTGTTCCTGGAAATGTAGTTAGTGGTCCCTGGATGGGCAGCACCCTGCTGGAAGGAATCGGAGGGCTCCCCTTCTTGGTAACTTCAGTGTTGTTTTGGGTCCTGTCACGTGCCTGGCCCAGGGCTCTGTTGTCTTAGGAATAAAATCAGTGGAGAAGATGAACGATACCGAGGGACTGAGAGCAAACCCCTGTGGCTGACAATAGTGTAGGGGAGATCCCAGGCCACGCCACGGAGAGCAGCCCGTATCAGCAAGGCCGTTCCCTGGGCTGGTGCCTGCCCCCTCAAAACAGACTCCTGGCTGTTTCCTCTACAGGCCGAAGATCAAGCTCGCGACTCTCCAAGAGGGAGGTGTCCAGTCTGCTAAGCTACACGCAGGTATGGTCTCCGCTCTCCCTTTTTCAGGGCTCAGTGACGTTGTCGTTGGCTTTCATCACATGGGCAACCTGAGGCCCATAAAAACTGGCATCTGCAAATGCATGGAGGGTTGTCGAGCTAGATGCTTTCTGCATATATTTGGCATTGTTTTTTCAATCTGGACTATCAGTTACATTGAGAAATCTCTCATATGGTAGTCCCATCTTATTTGTCATTTTGCTTTCCACGATTTCAGTTGCTTGTAGTCAGCTGCCGTCGGAAAGTATTAAATGGAAAATATTAAATGGTAAATCCCAGAAATAAGCAATTTATACATTTTAAATTGAGTGCCATTCTGGTAGCATGATGGAATCTCGCACTGTCCTGCTCTGTCCTGCCCAGGATCAGTCCTGTCTTTGTCCAACATCATGATGCTTAGGTGCCACCTGCCCGTTAGTCACTAGTAGCCATCTCCGTGATCAGATCAGTGGCAGTATCACAGTGCTTGTGTTCAAGTAATGCTTGTTTTACTTAATAATGGCCCCAAAGTGCAGGAGTGATGATGCTGGCAATTCAGTTATGCCAAAGAGAAGCCACGAAGTGTTTCCTTTCAGTGAAAAAGTGAAAGTTCTCAATAAGGAAAGACGTCATATGCTGAAGTTGTTAGATCGTGGTAAGAACAAATCTTCCAGCCGTGAAATGAAGAAGAAGGAAAAATAAATTCATGCTAGTTTTACTGTTGCACCTCAAACTGCAAAAGTTAGAGCCATGTTGTGTGATAAGTGTGTAGCTAAGATGGGAAAGGCATTAAGTTTGTAGGTGGAAGACATGAACAGAAATGTGTTCTGATTGACAGCAGTGCTTTGTGCCAGGAAGCATTGAGCTGATAGATAGCAAGGCATCTCCTGACACCAAACCATTTACTTCAAGTAAGGGATGGTTACATAGATTCAAGAATAGGTTTCTACTGAAAACTATAAAAATGACTGGGGAGGCTGCATTTGCCAATGAAAAAGCTGCTGCTACATTTTCAGAAGAGTTGAAGTTGATTGAGAAAGGAAACCATCCAAAACTGCAGTGAAACCAGACTCCTCCAGAAGATGATGTCTGATATAACCTACATTCATAAAAGTGCAGAGGAGGGAAGACACCAAGTCATAAACCGTGGAAGGACAGATAAACCCTGAATAGAGTATGAGAGAGAAACCACATTCATATGGCTTTTATTAACAGTATATTGTAATTGCTCTATTTTATTATTGTTAATCTGTGCCTAATTTATAAATTAAACTTTATCCTAGGTATGTAGATATAGACAAAAACACAGCACATATAGGGTTCCATGTTCCAAGGTGTCAGGCAGCCATGGGGGGTCTTGAATGTATCCTCCCTGGATAAGGGGAGACTACTGTATAGCAAACTGTCCTTTTTTTTTTTTTTTTTTTTTTTTTTTGAGACGGAGTCTCGCTCTGTCGCCCAAGCTGGAGTGCAGTGGCCGGATCTCAGCTCACTGCAAGCTCCGCCTCCCGGGTTCACGCCATTCTCCTGCCTCAGCCTCCCAAGTAGCTGAGACTACAGGCGCCCGCCACTTCGCCCGGCTAGTTTTTTGTATTTTTTAGTAGAAACGGGGTTTCACCGTGTTAGTCAGGATGGTCTCGATCTCCTGACCTCGTGATCCACCCGTCTCGGCCTCCCAAAGTGCTGGGATTACAGGCTTGAGCCACCGCGCCTGGCCAGCAAACTGTCTTTTTATTCCTGGAATGAGTCCAACTTGGTCATGGTGCATTTTGAAGTTGATTTTATTCGTGTATTCATGAATGAAATGGGTATAGGATTTTTTTTTTATTCATTTATTTTTGTTGCACTCCAGTCTGTTGCCCGGGCTGGAGTGCAGTGGCATGATCTCTGCTCACTGCAACCTCCCGCCTCCCAGGCTCAAGGGATTCCCCTGCCTCAGGCTCCTGAGTAGCTGGGACTACAGGCAGTGTACCACCATACCCAGCCAATTTTTTTCTATTTTTAGTAGAGACGGGGTTTCACCATGTTGACCAGGTTGGTCTCGAACTCCTGGCCTCAAGTGATCCACCTGTCCCTACCTCCCAAAGTGCTGGGATTACAAGTGTGAGCCACCGCACCCGGCCGATTTTATTTCTTTAAATCTATCTGTAGTTTTGATGTCAGGATTATGTGGGCTCTAGGAATTTTTTTACAAGCTGGAAAAAAACTTGTCTAAGCTTATTTTAATGAATTTCAAACAATTATATCTTTTAAGACTTGCTACATTATCAAGCTTTCTACTTCATTTACTTTTTCAAGATTGGATCTTTCCCATCATGTTTTGTGTTCCTTCCTTTACTGACACCGTCTGTTTCCTAATTATTCGTAGTAGAGTTTATCAGTTGGGTTGGTTTTGCTCAGAGCCAGTGTCAGTCAAAAAAGTCCTGAGCAATGAAAACTGACCCTCAGCTTCCATTCTCAGTGGTGGCCAACCTACTGAGGGGACTGAGAAGGTGAGGAATCCAAGCCCTGGGAGGAGTTAGGGCAGCTGCAGGATCAGAGGCTCAGCACTGCTGTTTTGTTTCTGATAGCTAGTTACCAGTAACAGTAGGGAAATCTCTTGGCCACACATTTCTTTTTGTTTGTTTGTTTTGTTTTGTTTTGAGACAGAGTCTCACTGGAGTGCAATGTCACGATCTTGGCTCGCTGCAACCTCCACCTCCCAGGTTTAAGTGATTCTCCTGCCTCAGCCTCCTGAGTATGAGTAGTATGAGTAGCTGGAATTACAGGCACACGCCACCATGCCCTGCTAATTTTTCTATCTTTAGTGGAGACAGGGTTTCGCTATATTGGCCAGGCTGGTCTTGAACTCCTGACCTCAGGTGATCCACCCGTCTCGGCCTCCCAAAGTGCTGGGATTACACGCCCGGCCTAATTTTTGTGTTCTTAGTAGAGACGGGGTTTCACCATCTTGGCCAGACTGGTCTCAAACTTCTGACCTCAGGTGACCTCAGTCTGCCCCAGCCTCCCAAAGTGTTGGGATTATAGGTATGAGCCACCACACTTGGCATATTATTTGAATCTTGATGTAACCCTGTTGTGCTGTGAGGGAAGTACTGTTATTCCAATTTTAAAATGAGAGAAATGGACTCAAAGCCACATAGTTGGTGAGGGAAGGCAAGTACTTAGCACTCCAGCCAGACCTAGCTGCTCACTGCTTCAGCGTTTGTGTTTGGCTTATGTTGGGTTTTGGTGTGAGGTGTGAGACCTACACGAGGAAGCCTTGATGGCATGGTGCAGGTTTCATGGCATTGCTTCCGGGGCATCTCTCGTGGTTGGCCTGTGTCTGCACCCATATGCGGTGTGTTGTGATAAGTGACCCGGTCTCCCTGCGAGACACAGGCAGTCAGTCTTGCATATTGCAGTTGCCTTGTTTCTTTGACTTGCTGATACCCTGGGGCCTTCTTCATGTTCATCGTGTTTCCTTATACAGGACTTGACAGGCGATGGCGACGGGGAAGATGGGGATGGCTCTGACACCCCAGTGATGCCAAAGCTCTTCCGGGAAACCAGGACTCGGTCAGAAAGCCCAGCTGTAAGTAGTCACACCCTGAGCCAAACTCTCGTAGCCACCAGTTGACATAGCATAACAAAAGTATCTTCCATCTCCTTAAGGGAGGTTTTTTTTTTTTTTTTTTTTTTTTGAGACAGAGTCTCACGCTGTTGCCCAGGCTGGAGTGCAGTGGCGCGATCTCGGCTCACTGCAAGCCCCGCCTCCCGGGTTCCCGCCATTCTCCTGCCTCAGCCTCCTGAGTAGCTGGGACTACAGGCGCCCACCACCGCGCCCGGCTAATTTTTTGTATTTTTAGTAGAGACGGGGTTTCACTGTGGTCTCGATCTCCTGACCTTGTGATCCGCCCGCCTCGGCCTCCCAAAGTGCTGGAATTACAGGCTTGAGCCACCGCGCCCGGCCGAGGGGAGCTTTTAAGAGAGAAAGTGGCAACCAAATGTTTTGAAACTAGAAAATATAGCCAGGCGTGCCTGTAATCCCAGCACTTTGGGAGGCCAAGGCGGGCGGATCACGAGGTCAGAAGATCAAGACCATCCTGGCTCTACTAAAAACATAAAAAATCAGCCGAGCATGGTGGCAGGCGCCTGTATAGTCCCAGGAAACTGGGAGGCGGAGCTTGTAGTGAGCTGAGGAAAAAAAAAAAAAGAAACTAGAAAATATAGGCAAGGCTCTGGGACTGTTGTTGGAAAGTTTTCTTTTTTCTTTCTCTTTTTTTTTTTTTCTTCTTTTTTTTAAGATAGAGTCTCGCTCTGTTGCTCAGGCTGGAGTGAGATGGCGTGATCTTAGCTCACTGCAACCTCTGCCTCCTGGGTTCAAGCGATTCTCCTGCCTCAGTCTCCCAAGTAGCTGGGATTACAGGCACCTACCACCATGCCTGGCTGATTTTTCTATTTTTAGTAGAGATGAAGTTTCACCATGTTGGCCAGGCTGGTCTCGAACTCTTGACCTCAGATGATCCACCCACCTTGGCCTCCCAAAGTGCTGAGATTTCGAGCATGAGCCACTGTGCCCAGCTGGAAGGTTTTCAGTATGTGCCATTTCTTTCAGGTGGTTTTTAAGTTCTTTCTTGTGACACTCTTGGAGGTGCCCAAGAGTGATAAGAGTTTTCAGGGTGGACAGCTCAGCTGCTAATGACCTAGGGAGTCCACCACTTTTGTGGGTGGATTTTGTGGCTCAAAGTTTTGAGGTCTGGCAATGGGAAGGCAGTTATTGCTTATGGTCACCTAACCCTTTAGAGACCAGACTGACAGTTACTATCCCAGGTGTGGGTTACAGTCTTCCTTCCCAGGATATGGGCTGTATCATCCCCTTTGTGGAGATGAGAGAAGATTCCAGCAACTAACTCGAGGTTAAACATCAACTCTTCTATGCAGAATTTGAACACAGGTTCTGCAACAACCAAATTCATGCCATTTTTGACAATGAACATAGTGCCTAAGGAATTCTCTTCCACCTTGATGATCTGGTGCCTTCCTGAACCCAGTAATTGGCTTTATGCTTCTTTGACATAAAAGTTTTAGAGTGAACATGAATTTTTCTTTCTTTCTGTTTTTTTCTTTTTTTTCTTTTTTTGAGCTGCAGTCTCACTATTACCCAGGCTGGAGTGCAGTGATGTGATATCAGCTCACTGCAGCCTCCACCTCCCTGGTCCAAGTGATTCTCCTGCCTCAGTCTCCTGAGTAACTGTGACTACAGGCACTCACAACCACGCCTGGCTAATTTTTGTATTTTTAGTAGAGATGGGGTTTCACCATTTTATCCAGGATGATCTCCAATTTCTGACCTCAAGTGATCTGCCTGCCTTGGCCTCCCAAAGTGCTGGGATTACAGGCATGAGCCACTGCGCTTGGCCAGATTTTTATTTTTCAATCCCAATTGGCAGGTGCCATTTCAGGTGGCCAAGTCTGTCTGCTGTGACAGGCAGAGCAGGACCTGTTGGGAATTGTCAGGCAGCCTAGCTGGCCACCCTACCACCTCTATTCTAAGAACTGGGGAATTCTGGCTGGACTCAGTCCAGAGTCCCTCCTTATCACGTTTTCATTTCCAGTTGTCCTGAAGCTGGCTACCAGGTCTCCTTGGCCACCTCAAGGCCTAATCCTCCTGGCCCCGCCAGACCCCAAGCCTCCAGTCACCTAAGGCCCAGTGCATGTCCTCTCTTGCTTCCAGGTCCGAACTCGAAATAACAACAGTGTCTCCAGCCGGGAGAGGCACAGGCCTTCCCCACGTTCCACCCGAGGCCGGCAGGGCCGCAACCATGTGGACGAGTCTCCCGTGGAGTTCCCGGCTACCAGGGTTGGTTCCCCAGATGCCCAGACCCCTGCCCCCAGTCTCTAACTGGGAGATATGCCTCACTCACTGCACTACTGTCTGTGGCTGGTGGATAATCTGTGTCCTTTTTTTGCACTGCTTTTCAGGTTCTTGCTTTTTCTTTTATCTCCTGGGTAAGCTTCCCGTAAGCCTGTTGGCTTCTCTCCTGGTCTGATCTCAGATGCACTGACCTCACTCACTGCACTACTGTCTGTGACTGGTGGATAATCTGTGTCCTTTTTTCACACTGCTTTTCAGGTTCTTGCTTTTTCTTTTCTTTCCTGGGTAAGCTTCCTGTAAGCCTGTTGGCTTCTCTCCTGATCTGATCTCAGATGACCCTCTGTTGGGAATGGAAGTTTTCCCTGTTGACTTGATTCTTTCTCTAACTTGGAAACAAGGTAGAAACCACTGACTTCCAGGACTGTCTTCTCCCTAATGTCTTCACCTGTCTTGAGGCAACCCTAGGGGGTATGGCAACACTTCACTCTCGTTGTAAGAATAGTCACATGCACAGTAAACACTCAAAGAAACCAGTGACCTGCTCCGAGCTTGGCTCTAAGAGTCCCTCGTCATTACCCATCATTTGTGCCTTCGTCATCTTTCTGTCTCTGTCGCTGGGACAGTTATAATGACCTTCTCCCACCTCTTAAGGGATACATGTTCCTGGAAAAGTTTCTGCAGCAGTCTCTGTTCTCTTTAACTTCGGTCTTTCCTCTTTCTTTTTGCCTAGGAGGCATATGGGGGTGCCGTTGGTCCCCAACATCCTTTGCTGTGGCCCAAACTATGTGTCCTTCTGTCCACAGTCCCTGAGACGGCGGGCAACAGCATCGGCAGGAACGCCATGTCCGTCCCCTGCCAGCTCTTACCTTACCATCGACCTCACAGATGACACAGAGGACACACGTGTGACGCCCCAGAGCAGCAGTACCCCCTATGCCCGCCTAGCCCATGACAGCCAGCAGGAGGGCATGGAGTCCCCGCAGGTGGAGGCAGACAGTGGAGATGGAGACAGTTCAGAGTATCAGGTATGGCTGAGAGGGGCTCTTGCCCAGGGTGACTGAACATGGGGAAAAACCAGTTACCTGCTACTGTTGGTAACATAGAGTGACAATAGTTGTTAGAATTTTTGTAATTGTAATAATTGACATGTTTGAATTCTGAATATCTTCCATATGCACCACAGTCCTTTCTTTACCTTAATCCTCTCCCAGACATAAGTCAAATGCCAGTATTTACCACGTGAATACTGTGATTTTTCTCAACATGACATTTATATAAGGACTGCAACTGCATGCGTAATACATATTGTGATTCTGTTCATCAGATTGTACATACTGTATATATTGTACATATTATACCTTTTTCTTCTATTAAGAACTACAGTTGCCTGAGGTTCATGTCTGTATAATAAATTCAGTGGTCTGGATCATAGCTTAATTAACCAATTGAGGTTGTTTATGCTTTTATTCAAGCATTGCTACATGAAGACTACTTACACATGTATGTATTTATGTGTTAGGATCCCTTTTTTCTATGTCCATTCCTACATTTTACCTTGTATAGAAGGGATCTCACTATGGGGCCCAGGCTACTCTCAAACTCCTGGCCTCAAGCGATCCTCCTATCTCAGCCTCCTTAGTAGCTAGGACTACAGGCATGCACCACAAAGCCCAGTTACTTTATAAATTCTTTTGTGGAAATGGAGTCTTGCTATGTTGCCTGGGCTAGTCTCCAACTCCTGGCCTCAAGCGATCCTCCCGCCTCGGTCTCCCAAAGTACTGAGAATTACAGGCATGAGCCACAGTGTCTGGCTACATCTTGTATTTTATGGCAAGCTTTTTGTTGCCCTCAGGGACAGTGGAGTGGACAGGATGGCCTCTCCTCACTGGGATTTCTTCATGTGGCTTTTATTCCAGGATGGGAAGGAGTTTGGAATAGGGGACCTCGTGTGGGGAAAGATCAAGGGCTTCTCCTGGTGGCCTGCCATGGTGGTGTCTTGGAAGGCCACCTCTAAGCGACAGGCTATGTCTGGCATGCGGTGGGTCCAGTGGTTTGGCGATGGCAAGTTTTCCGAGGTGAGTCCGGGGAAGGGCAAGGGGCTTTGCAGGCCTGAGGCTGTGCCTTCCTTCCTTCCTTTGAAGACAAAGGCCTGGGATTGCCTTCTGCAGATGCACGAGCCTGTATCTTCACACTGTCTGGGAGGAAGGACAAAACTTCCTGTGTTAACCAGCTACAGCAGATTTTTAGTGTCTTATGGGTCTACTTATACAGGGGACAAAAGTGCTAGAAAGTTCTGGATCCATGGGCAGTTGATTTTATGTTATTTCTTACATTTATCTTTTGGGGGCAGAACCACCAGTGCGGACTCTGAGGGGCCAGGAGTGGCCATGTGAGCAGGTACCCGAAAGTGTTCAGTGGAGAAGCCTGGAAGAGACCAGAGGCATGGCCATGGCCTCTTGTCATTTAGCCATGGGGAGAGAAAGGCATCCTTAGGTGGCCTGCAGTTGGGTTTAGGGTCACCTGGTGTCAGTTATGAAAAGGGTTTTTAGTAGAATTGGTTATTTCAGAGTCTCTTCATGATTGATATTAGCCATTTAAAATCTTTCTTGGTAATTAAATTTATCTGGGGAAGAACTATGTTGGGCATAACTAGGCTGTTTTGATTTTTACACTCTTTCAACAAAGATTTTTTTTTTTTTGGGGGGGATGGAGTCTTGCTCCGTTGCCCAGGCTGGAGTGCAGTGGTGTGATCTTGGCTCATTGCAACCTCCGCCTCCCAGGTTCAAACAATTCTCCTACCTCAGCCTCCTGAGTAGCTGGGGTTACAGGCACCCGCCACCATGCCCTGCTAATATTTACATTTTTAGTAGAGACTGGGTTTCACCATGTTGGCCAGGGTGGTCTCCAACTCCTGACCTCAGATGATCCATCCGCCTCAGCCTCCTGTGCTGGGATTACAGGCAGAAGCCACCACGCCTGGCCTCAACAAAGATTTTAATCAGACAGAACTTTCCTGTGATGGTCTCTTAGAAGTAAATATCAGTCCCACCCTCAGAGCCCTGAGAGAGGCTAAGTTAGGTGCCTAAGGTCATTGGGCAAGTTGGAGTTGCAGCACCAGCAAGCCAGGCAGGATTGAAGGAAGGACTGTACCTTAATCCTCTCCCAGACATAAGTCAAATGCCACTATTTACCACGTGAATATTGTGATGTTTTTCAACATGACATTTATATGAGGACTGCAACTGCATATGTAATACATATTGTGATTCTGTTCATCAGAGTGCATGTATAGCCTCAAGCAGAGATTCTGTTTTTCCCACAAATTGAGCGACCAGGGGCCATTTGCCATGAGTGAATTCAAGTTTCCCAAGGGTTACAATAATATATTAGGTCTGGAGTCTCCCTTGTAGAAGAGACTCTGCATGCAGTTGGCTGCTGTGACCAGCAGAGGGAGCAGAAGGACAAGTCCTGGGCCCATGCTGGCAGTGAGGCAGCTACTTCCAGGGACGGGAGAGCAGTAACTTCTGTCAAGTGAAGGAAGATGGATTGTTTGCAATTGCTTTGCCCCATTGAGACATAAAACGCACTTTGCAAGACAGAGTCTGAGGCTAATACAATGCAGTGTGGGGCTGTCAGCATTAGGGGATGAGATGACAATATGGGACCTGGCTCTGGCCTGGGCGAGTGCCTGCTCAGCATGTGTGCGCTGTTTGGGTTGCATTGGAGCCATTGGGCGCTGGAACCAGCACTTGTGTTGGAGCGGTTTTTTTTAACCCTACCAGAGCCCCCAGGTATTTTCTCCCGGGTGGTGGTCACACGCCCACATAAAATGGAGGTTTGCATGAGTGTGAGCACTCTCTGTGGAGAATAGAACATTCCCTGTGTCTTTCAGTTCTTTTTTTTTGAGACATGAGGTCCTCACTGTCACTCAGGCTGCAGTGCAGTGGCACTGTCATGGCTCATTGCAGCCTCAGTCACCTGGGCTCAAGCAATCCTTCCTTAGAGCAGCTGAGACTGCAGGTGCACACCACTGTGGTTCTTAAAATTTTTTGTAAAGATGGGGTCTTGCTCTGTTGTCCAGGCTAGTTGAACTCCTGGGCTCAAGCGATCCTTCCAACTCCCACTCCCAGAGTGCTGGGAATATAGGCCTGAGCCACTACGTCTGGCCTTTCAGTTCTGATTAGCATCCCTGAATAGCCATTTTCTCTCTCACTGGCAACTCAGTCATTTCATGCTTGGTCTGGGGACTTGGTACATCAGGAGACTTGTGGAATATGGATTAAATCACAAGAACTAAAGTTAAATAATCACAATAAGTGAAAGGTGCTAACTGTGTCAAGCACTGTTTTCTAAACACATTCATTAGGTGAACTCATTTTATTTTTTTTATTTTTTTGAGACGGAGTCTCGCTCTGTCGCCCAGGCTGGAGTGCAGTGGCCGGATCTCAGCTCACGCAAGCTCCGCCTCCCGGGTTTACACCATTCTCCTGCCTCAGCCTCCTGAGTAGCTGGGACTACAGGCGCCCACCACCTCGCCTGGCTAGTTTTTTGTATTTTTTTTTTTTTTTTAGTAGAGACGGAGTTTCACCGTATTAGCCAGGATGGTCTCCATCTCCTGACCTCGTGATCCGCCCATCTCGGCCTCCCAAAGTGCTGGGTTTACAGGCTTGAGCCACCGCGCCCAGCTTTTGAACTCATTTTAATAAAAGGGTAAAGAGTAAACAATTACCATGCTTAGGAAAGAAGGAATATGTACAAACCCCTGATGCCGGAGCATCCACAGAGAATATTAGGACTGAGCGTCAGGGTTCCACACCAGGGACACTTGCTTGTAAAATGGATACAAACACAGGGTTCGCCTCATTGCCTTCATTCAGAGTATCCTCCTTTTCCACAGTGGGAGTGTCATAACTAACAAGTTTCTGGGTATCTGTGTGTTGAGACTCTGTCATTTCTAGTTTTCTGCTTTTTCCTTTCCTTCCTTTTAAATGGATATCTGTGGACTTGATCCCCAGGAATGGGTTCTTGGTTAAAGTGTATGAAAATCTTCTGCATCTGATGGGCAACATTGTGATAGACATGGCACCTGGGACACACCTGTAGGTGGATGTTGATGATGTCTTTCTCTTTTAGGTCTCTGCAGACAAACTGGTGGCACTGGGGCTGTTCAGCCAGCACTTTAATTTGGCCACCTTCAATAAGCTCGTCTCCTATCGAAAAGCCATGTACCATGCTCTGGAGGTAACATGGGATGAGGGAATGAGGGCTAGGCCCTGAGAGCAGGGATGAAGGAAGAGACCCACGGAAACCTAGCTCAGTGTTGCCAAGGGTGGTTTGGAGGGGACAGGTTGGCCAGGGAGGAGGTAAATGCCAACATAACATGATGGCCACCGGATTGGGCATCCAACAAAGGAATCTGAGACATCCCAGCTGCCATTTATTGGGACCACTAACTGAATCAGAAGGAAAGAGCACGGGCAGTTAGGGGTGCAATATTCATATCAGTGAATGTGCTTTTCCAGAGACCTCAGAGCCACCTTATGAGGGGTAGAGTTCACGGCAAGATGGCAGTGGAGGCCAGCTGCCTTCTGTCTGTGGGCTATCTTATCCCCTACGAACCATTACACCCTGTTTCTCCCTTCACGTTGATTTTTTTTGCCCACCTTTGTTCAGCATTTAAGAGCCAGCCTCTTCTCATTGCCAAAGGCTTCATTAGACACTGAAATCCTCATGGTCCTTCATGTTGGACACAAGTTAACGTCCCCATCTTTAGGGAGATGAAACAAGAAATCTAGTGCTTTCTTATATAAGATGCAGAGGAGATGAGGTAGTGCTGACTGGGGCTTCTGTATCTTGGTGGTAGAGTTAATTCTGATCTATCTGCCTTTTGAGAGGGAGGTGACCACTCACATTCTCTAGGGGGAAGAGATCCTATTTGGTGCCTGCATGAAAAGATTTAACCACAACCCCCCTTCCGAGGCCTCTCCCTGCACAGGCCCCTCCTTCCTCTGACACATACCGCAGCCCAGGACAGCTGTCTGGCTATGAAAGGGCCTAGTGTGAAGGGGAATGTAGGCCCTGGCTGGGGGACTCCCTGGGTGTGGCCTGGCGAGCACCCCCTCCCCACCCGCCATTCATCACAGACTCTGCCTTTGCAGAAAGCTAGGGTGCGAGCTGGCAAGACCTTCCCCAGCAGCCCTGGAGACTCATTGGAGGACCAGCTGAAGCCCATGTTGGAGTGGGCCCACGGGGGCTTCAAGCCCACTGGGATCGAGGGCCTCAAACCCAACAACACGCAACCAGGTGGGAATGAGTCCCCATGGCAGCACCTGCTGCCTCTGCTGGTGGGACCACTTCTTGGGAGAGTCAGCCACCCCTGCTGCCCCACGCCCACCCAGCTTTCTAGCAGCTGGGCTCAACTCTGAATGTTGGAAAAATTGCAGGCATACGAAGGCTGTGTCAGCCCTATCTGGCTTCCCTGGCCACTTTCTTGCTGATGGTCATGTGCATATAATTTGTATTGAATCTGACATCTGTCTTGAAGTCAGGATGCAGTGTTGACTAGCACCTTTTTTATTAAAGGAAAAATATAGTTAAGCTATGCTCATTCGAGAAAATTGGAAAGTGTTAAAGAAGAACCATATGCCACCTGCTAACATTTTGACCAGTACCATATTTCTCCCATTATAAGATAACTCTGGTTTCTAGAAATCCAGGACTTGTCTTACAATCTATACATTTAAAGGCCAGGCATAGTGGCTCACGCCTGTAATCCCAGCACTTTGGGAGGCTGAGGCGGGCAGATCGCTTGAGGCGAGTAGATCGAGACCAGCCAGGACAACATGGTGAAAAATAGAAAAATTAGCCTGGTGTGCTTGGCATGTGCCTGTGGTCACAGCTACCCGGGAGGCTGAGGTGGGAGAATTGTCTTGAGTCCAGGAGGCAGAGGTTGCAGTGCACCGAGATTGCACCACTGCATTCAAGCCTGGGCGACAGAGCAAGACCTTGTCTCAAGAAAGAAAACAGTCCATACATTTAATGTAATGTTTTTTCTGTTTTGTTTTGTTTCCGCCTCAAAAGTGGTTAATAAGTCGAAGGTGCGTCGTGCAGGCAGTAGGAAATTAGAATCAAGGAAATACGGTATTTCCTTCCCGTCTTTTGACTGTTCCCTGTTTTCTATGCACTTTCTTCTGATTTCTTTGCATATAAAATGGTCACTGGAAAAGAATCAAATTTCTTGAAGAGTCTATCTGAACTCCCCACTCTCCCTTCACATCCCACCCTCACAAATACCCTCCGGGTTAATATTGGGTTGCACATCCTTCCAGATTTTTCTGAACACTAGTTGGATTCCTGCTTTCCCCTTTATTAATATTAATACTGTAAGCACTGTCTGTCATTTTGTCACGAAAGGGTCCTTATGATTTTTAATGGCTGTACAATTTTCTTTCCTAGGGTCAGAGTCAAATTTAACCACGTTCATTAAGATTTTCCGTATAGAAAGACAAATGGGTTTTACAAAATCTCATTTATAGAATGGGAGCCATATTATGTAATTAAAATTTTTTCTAGTAGCCTCACTGAAAATTAAGAGGTACTGGGCTTGGTGGCTCATGCCTGTAATCCCAGCACTTTGGGATGCAAATAACCATCTCTTGGATTTCCCAGCATTTTGGGACGCTGAGGTGGGCAGATTGCTTAAGCTCAGGAGTTCCAAGACCAGCCTGGGCAACATGGTGAAACCCTGTTTCTACAAGAAATACAAAATTAGCTGTGTGAGATAGTGTGTGCCTGTGGAGGCTGGGGTGGGAAGATCACTTGAGCCCAGGAGGTTGAGGCTGCAGTTTGCTAAGATCATGCCAGTGCATTCCAGCCTAGGTGACACCCTGAGAACCTGTCTCAAAAAAGAAAAAAAAAAAAAAGAAAGAAAGAAAAAAGGAGGCTGGTGCAGTGGCTCATGCCTGTAATTCCAGCACTTTGGGAGGCTGAGGCAGGCAGATCCCTTGAGGTCGGGAGTTCACCAGCCTGGCCAACGTGGCAAAACCCTATCTCTATTAATATACAAAAATTAGCCAGATGTGGTGCTGCATGCCTGTAAGAGGCTGAGGCAGGAGAATTGCTTGAACCCAGGAGGCGGAGGTTGCAGTGAGCCAAGATCTACACCATTGCACTCCAGCCTGGGCAACAAGAAAGGAACAAGTAAAATTAATACAAATCATGATTTTTTTAGCACTAAATTTCCAAAATGTTAACAGCTATTATAAAAACTGAGATAGTCTACATTTATAGTGCTGTTTTCAAAATTTCACTTATTTTATATATTTTACATAGTACATATTTTACAGATCTCAATTTTGATGCTAAATTTGCAATGAAAATACTTGATCTGTATAAGTATATACAGATTGTATAAGTATATACAGATTGATAACTAAATACAGATGTAGATGTTTAAACACATTAACTAAATTCATAAAACACGCATTTGAGAAAGTAGACTCATTGGTCTAGGCTAGTCCTAGTTGACTTGCTTGTCAGTGTTTTAATTAACATTATATACAGAATTCATTTCCTCACCAGTTTCAAGTTCTCAGTAGCCACCCCTATGCCTACTGCCCAGCATGTCAGATATCACAGACATAGGTGTGTCAGGCTTTTAGCTTTGAATTGAGCTTTGCTCTCTGAGCTGAGTCATCTTTACCTCCTAGTTGTGGCCATTTAAAACCTTGTAAGCATGTGTTAAGAATCCTGGGTGCAAGGGGTTTTGAATGAGCTCCTGTTATGAGTTGCCCATCAAGGGGCCATATACATTCAGTGTGGACCCCCTGTCATGCCCCAATTGCAGCTGGTACCCAGGCATAGCATGGTCTTGTCCTGGGCCCACATTCTCTCTGGACCCTCCTACCAAGCCACGGCTGCAGTCTAATTACCTTTCACAGAGAACAAGACTCGAAGACGCACAGCTGACGACTCAGCCACCTCTGACTACTGCCCCGCACCCAAGCGCCTCAAGACAAATTGCTATAACAACGGCAAAGACCGAGGGGATGAAGATCAGAGCCGAGGTGATTGTTGGGGACCCGCTACCTGGGATCATGGGGCAGATGGGAGGAGGATGCTGCAGACCAGGAATTGATCCGTACCCGGCTCCCTGACCTCATCCCATGCCTTCTTATTCTTTTCTCAATAGAACAAATGGCTTCAGATGTTGCCAACAACAAGAGCAGCCTGGAAGGTAATGCTCTCTCCCTCCCAGTCATCCCCTTCACACCCTGGCTAGGGCTCTATGCCTTCCTCGTCCTGGCTCATCCGCCCTGTCAGGGTTTAACCCAGAGCTCTGTTCCTTGACCTCAGGCCAAGGCCTATTTCTAGTCCCTGCATCTTAGTTGCTAGTTTATGGAATGAATTGCCCACTTGTGCCCCTTAAGAGAAAGGGACAGGAAGGGTATGGTGAGGAAGAAGGGAAGCCAGGCCATTTTGGCCGGGAGAACCATAACCTAAAACCAAGGTTAGTGGTATCATGAACTTCCCAAAGAACGGCAACTAACTAGCTTTTACTCACTTGCCTACTGTCAGGTTAAATAGTCTGCTTGTCCTGGCTGGGGATTGCCACTGGATTGGATACTCTGGCCAGAATATACCTCATGGAATACAGAATGTGTGAGGATGAAGTTTCCCTTGCTTCCTTAACCCCCAGTTACTCCGTGTTGAATAGGAAAACACCACATCCCTGACCCAGAGAACCCGGGGAAGAGCTTCGGTTTAGAAATCCTATTCCCCAAGACTCACTCACCCATCTGGCTAGGTAGCGATGCTTGGTCATGGGTTTTATAAAGGTCCTATCTACCCAGCCAGGGATGCAACTCCTTGCTGGTCTGGTGATATGAAGGGAAGGCAGGGTTGTCTACTGGTTAAAGGACCCGGATTCTGAGATTACAGCCATTTGCTGTTTTTAGGGTGTGGGCGTGGGCAAGTCCTATCATGAGACAACAAGCCAATTGGAGTCACCACAAAATCCTCGATGTCCCAGTAATTAAAGCTTCTCAAGGACTGTCACACCAGAGAGGTCCCTCTGCTCAGCGTTCTGCCTGACATCATCCTCCTGGGGCAGCCCCTTGCCCATCTTGATGTTCCCCATCTGTGAAGTAGGGATGCCACCTGGAAGCATTGCTGAAAGGTAGAAGCTGTGAGGCATGGCCTGAGGCACGAAGAGTCCTTGGCAAGCAGCTGGCCTGGAGGAAAATCTTAGGAACTGAGAGGCCCAGGCTTCAGCAACTGGTGTCAGGGCCTCAATTGCCACAAGCCCCAACCCTGTTTTTCTTACAGACGGCTGTTTGTCTTGTGGCAGGAAAAACCCCGTGTCCTTCCACCCTCTGTTTGAGGGGGGCCTCTGTCAGACATGCCGGGTAAGTCCTCCTGCTGCTCCGGACCTTCCTGCCCTCGCCTCCTCCAGCTCCCCTGTCCTTCCGAGCAGCACCTGTGTGGAGCCTCAGTGAAGCCCACTCATCCTAGCTGCCTTGCACTCTGCCTCTGGGGCGGGACGGGGGAGAGCTGTCGTAGAGGCCAGAGGCACACAGGTCACAGCCAGTTGTCCTTTTAAAGGACACCAAGCCACCAGCAGTGTGTTCTGCGGCTGTATCGTAGGGCCTCCACCAGCAAGCTGGCAGGGCCTGGCCTTCTCTGGTCTCCGATTTCACTGGTGTTTCTCTCTGGCTGCCAGGATCGCTTCCTTGAGCTGTTTTACATGTATGACGACGATGGCTATCAGTCTTACTGCACCGTGTGCTGCGAGGGCCGAGAGCTGCTGCTTTGTAGCAACACGAGCTGCTGCCGGTGAGCACTGGGCCCTGTGGGCAGGATGTGGGTGGGCCCCCAAGGCTCCTAGGTTCCTGCAGTCTGCAGACAGCTGCCTGTTGAATGGAATCCTAGGCATGGGAAGAGGGAGCTAATTTGCCCTGGAAGCAGCATACAGGGTTTATGTTTTGTGGTGGCCGTGGTTGTAGCTTAATTGGGGTAGAGCTCATGTGTAGGAAAGGGCTCTTTTTTTTGAGACAGGGTCTCGCTCTGTTGCCCAGGGTGTACAGTGACGTGATCATAGTTCACTGCAGCCTCCAATTCCTGTGCTCAAGCAATCCTCCCACCTCAGCCTCCTGAGCAGCTTGATTATAGGCACATGCCACCACACCCAGCTAGTTGTTCTTCTTTTTTTTTTTTTTGTGGTGGAGTCTTGCTCTGTCACCCACGCTGGAGTGCAGTGGCACAATCTTGGCTCACTGCAACCTCTGCCTCCAGGGTACAAGCAATTCTCATGCCTCAGCCTCCCAAGTAGCTGGAATTTTAAGTGTGCAACACCACCCAGGTAATTTTTGTGTTTTTAGTAGAAACAGGGTTTCACCATGTTGACCAGGCTTGTCTTGAACTCCTGACTTCAGGTAATCCACCTGCCTCAGCCTCTCAAATCCCAGCACTCCCAAGGTTCTGGGATTACAGGCGTGATCCACCATGCTTGGCCTATTTTTTTGTAATAAATAAAAAGTGTAGTAAATGCTGCCTACGCTGGTCTCAAATCCCTGGGCTCAAGCCATTCTCCTGCCTCAGCCTCCCAAAGCCCCAGGGTTATAGGTGTGAGCCACCGCACCCAGCTAGAAGTGCTCTTAATAGGCCAAGAGCATGAGGGAAGGGGATGAGAAGGGCATCAGGGAAGGCTAACTCCCTGGTTTGCCAGTTGGCCTGTAATCCAAAGTGTCCATGGAATGAAGTAGGTTGTTGGGAGAGCATTTCTGATTAAGGGGGTTGGGGTATCCAAGGAAGACGTCAGGGAAGCCCGTACTGCACAGGGCCCTGCAGGCTATGCTGTTAAGCTTTCAGGAGGGGGTGGGCATTTCCCTGTGGAAGTGGTAAGGGGGTGGCACAGGAGACCAACTCGATGACAAAGGCATGCCTTCTCCCTGCCACTGGGTCCAGGTGCTTCTGTGTGGAGTGCCTGGAGGTGCTGGTGGGCACAGGCACAGCGGCCGAGGCCAAGCTTCAGGAGCCCTGGAGCTGCTACATGTGTCTCCCGCAGCGCTGTCACGGCGTCCTGCGGCGCCGGAAGGACTGGAACGTGCGCCTGCAGGCCTTCTTCACCAGTGACACGGGGCTTGAATACGTAAGCCACAGGCTCCCGCCTCTACCACCACAGATCCCAGGGGCACAGGGTGTTGGAACGCTCTGGAATTCTCAGAGAGAGAGTAATAGAAGTAAACACACATTGTACAAGTGGAACCTCTCGGAGCCTCAACGGCTGACAGACCTGGCAAATTGACAGCTCCTCTGCACGGTTTTCACCCGTGCCAGGGTTCACTCCCTCCTTGCCGGCTTCTCAGTATATGGCTTTTCAGGGACCCGATGAAGAAATGGTTGTAGCCTTCTGAGTTAGCAGAGCTGAGAGGGAAGGAAATAGTAGAAATGAATTTTCTAGTTCTTAGAGGCAGGCCCTAGGTCTTTCCTATCTGGGGTGATACCTTTTCATGTGTGCATCTGTGCATATATATCTGGCTCATGTCCAAGGATAAATTTACCATTCCTTGCCAAATGCAGGCTCCCGTGGTACACACTGTCTCCCCAATCCCCATCAAGGCTTCAGTGGGCTTTTTGCAGTGCCTATGGCAAGGTTTGAAGCCCTCTGAGCAGAGTCAGCCTGCCCCTCCCTCAGAGCTTGAGTCTTTCCCCTGTGCCTTCACCAGCATGACCTCCTTCCTTACCTGGCAGGAAGCCCCCAAGCTGTACCCTGCCATTCCCGCAGCCCGAAGGCGGCCCATTCGAGTCCTGTCATTGTTTGATGGCATCGCAACAGGTGAGTTTGGGGTATTCCTGGAGATGCTCTGCTGTCCTGTCACAAGGGGGTAGCCAGGGAGTCAGAAGGCATGGTTAGGGTGTCTGACATCAGTGGCAAGAAATATCGCTGGGGGTCACCAGCTCTGAAAAAATCCCTGTCTCCTTGTTTCTCTCCACCTTCTCAGCCACCTTGCAGTCTTGGTCATTGAATTTTATTTCATTTATTTATTTTTTTGAGATAAGAGTCTCCCTTTGTCACCCAGATTGGAGTGCAATGACATGATCTGTGCTCACTGCAGCCTCCACCTCCCAGGTTCAAGTGATTCTCTTGCCTCAGCTGCCAGAGGAGCTGGGATTACAGGTGCCCGCCACCACGCCCAGCTAATTTTTTTTTTTTTTTTTTTTTTTGAGACGGAGTCTTGCTCTGTCGCCCAGGCTGGAGTGCAGTGGCCGGATCTCAGCTCACTGCAAGCTCCGCCTCCCGGGTTTACGCCATTCTCCTGCCTCAGCCTCCCGAGTAGCTGGGACTACAGGCGCCCACCACCGCGCCCGGCTAATTTTTTTTTTGTATTTTTTAGTAGAGACGGGGTTTCACCGTGTTAGCCAGGATGGTCTCGATCTCCTGACCTCGTGATCCGCCCGTCTCGGCCTCCCAAAGTGCTGGGATTACAGGCTTGAGCCACCGCGCCCGGCCACGCCCAGCTAATTTTTATATATATATATTTTTTTTTTTTTTTTTTTTTGAGACGGAGTCTTGCTCTGTGCCCCAGGCTGGAGTGCAGTGGCGCGATCTCGGCTCACTGCAAGCTCCGCCCCCCCGGGTTCATGCCATTCTCCTGCCTCAGCCTCCCGAGTAGCTGGGACTATAGGCGCCTGCCACCTCGCCCGGCTAATTTTCTTGTATTTTTAGTAGAGACGGGGTTTCACCGTGTTAGCCAGGATGGTCTCGATCTCCTGACCTCGTGATCCGCCCGTCTCGGCCTCCCAAAGTGCTAGGATTACAGGCTTGAGCCACCGCGCCCGGCCTAATTTTTATATTTTTAGTAGAGATGGGGTTTCTCCATGTTGGTCAGGTTGGTTTCGAATTCCTGACCTCAAGTGATCTGCCCACCTTGGCATCCCAAACCGCTGGGATTAGAGGCATGAGCCACCGTGCCCAGGCAGTCTTGGTCATTTTAAAAGGACATACATCTTAGCTGTTACACTATTTTTTATGTGCAGTTATCTTGAAATTGATTTTCATTCCACATGCATAAGTATAATTGGAGATAAATTAGGCAACAAGTACTGCTATCTCTGGTTTTGGTTCTCTTCTTTTCTTGCTATACTGAGTTTGCACAGCCAATATGTGTGGTGCATTTACAGCCTTTGCTGGATTGAATGCATGTGACGCAGTCATGAGGAATTGTTTGTTTTACCATAGCAGGGAGCGGAGGAAATGATGTGCTCAGCATCATTTATGCTTCTGTGTCTCCCTGGCCCCCACAGGCTACCTAGTCCTCAAAGAGCTGGGCATAAAGGTAGGAAAGTACGTCGCCTCTGAAGTGTGTGAAGAGTCCATCGCTGTTGGAACCGTGAAGCACGAGGGGAATATCAAATACGTGAACGACGTGAGGAACATCACAAAGAAAAATGTGAGGGCAGTCTGTACCTTGTGGGCCTTATCTCTTTCTGTTTCCCCCAGTCCTCCACATCCTGAAACCTGCATGTAGGCCCCATCCCTGAGACCCTAGAAAAAATAATTGAAATCTTGTGGGAATCTTAAGCCTTAGGTTAGGGTCGGAAGTGGAGTTGGTGACCAAGCAAGATTCTATTTTTTTCTGGAGACAGTCTCACTCTGGAGTGCAGTGGCATGATCTCAGCTCACTGTAACCTCTGCCTCCTGGGTTTAAGCGATTCTCCTGCCTCAGCCTCCCAAAGTGCTGGGATTACAGGCACCTGCCACCATGCTGGGCTAATTTTTATATTTCTAGTAGAGGTGGGGTTTCTCCATGTTGGCCAGGCTGGTCTCAAACTCCTGACTTCAGGTGATCCACCCCCCCACTTCAGCCTCCCTGGGATTACAGGTGTGAGCCACTTTGTCCAGCCCCAAGCAAGATTCTAGAAGTGGGACCAGCTCTCTTTCTCTCTGTCCACACCCTCATCCTGACTCTGTCTCTCTCAGATTGAAGAATGGGGCCCATTTGACTTGGTGATTGGCGGAAGCCCATGCAACGATCTCTCAAATGTGAATCCAGCCAGGAAAGGCCTGTATGGTGAGCATCCTTCTCTCTGGCAGTCCCTGGAGAGCCTATGTCACCTGACCCCTGACCACTGGCCCAGGTGGAGTGGCCTGAGAAGGAGCCCTTTGCTTCTGGCCAAGTTACTGGCAGCGTCAGGGGACTGTTGGTGCTGCCTACGCTCCGTAGTAAATCCTCAGCCCACAAGGGAAATACCCTAGTAAATAGTGCCCTGCCGCTGCCTGTGTCCCTGCTGTCATTCAGGTGGACATAGACTGGTAGGCATCGGCCTTAACTCAGGAGGCCATTGGGAACCTGTTGGTCTCAGGGGATGCAGTAGGTTGGGCTGGAGGTTTCAAATGAACCCTGCACTGTCATCTTTTCTGGGCACAGAGGGTACAGGCCGGCTCTTCTTTGAATTTTACCACCTGCTGAATTACTCACGCCCCAAGGAGGGTGATGACCGGCCGTTCTTCTGGATGTTTGAGAATGTTGTAGCCATGAAGGTTGGCGACAAGAGGGACATCTCACGGTTCCTGGAGGTGAGGGAATCTGGGGACCTGATTGTCACACACAGCCTGGGCAGGGAAAGCGCTGCTGGCAGTGATGATTGGTGGGTGTTGCCAACGTTGGGAATGACTTTCCTGTCCTTGGTCTGGCTAGATCCAATAGTGAGGGATTCAGTGGGTTCTCTTAGTACATGGAAAATATTTTTTTTTGAGATGGGGTCTTGCTCTGTCACCCAGGCTGAAGTACAGTGGCATGATTACAGCTCACTGTAGCCTCAAACAGCTGGGCTCAGGCAATCCTCCTACCTCAGCCTCCCAAGTAGCTGGGACTACAGGAGCATACCACCATGCCCAGCAGTTTTTGTATTTTTGGTAGAGACGGGGTCTTGGTATGTTGCACACCCTAGTCTTGAACTCCTGGACTCAAGCGATCCGCCCACCTCCCAACGTGTTGGAATTAGAGATAGAGCTGTGAGCCACCATGCCCGGCCAATACAAGGAAAATAATTGATCTCTAATCTCAGCTCAACTCTTTGCAGTCAGAAATGATGAAACCATCATCTGCTGTTAAGGACTCATGAGATTTGACTCAATTTTCTACTCATTTTTGATATGAAAACTGCTTTAGACCAGGCACGGTGGCTCATGTCTGCACTCCTAGCATTTCAGGAGGCTGAAGTTGGAGGATCACTTGAGCCTGTGTATCATATTTTGTAATAATCTGGCGTGTCCCAGGGGATGCCATCTCAGAATCTACAGGTTTGACCTTATCTCTTTACCTACCATTAGCATAGTATGAGGGCGTTCACCATGTCCTCTAGCCAGCCTCCTGATGGCAGTTGGTCTTTTCTTTGTTTTGAAGGATCTGTGCCTCTTCTGTAGTCAGGGAATAGCCCTGTCACCTGCAAAGGTCTGGTTGACACTGGAACTCTAATAATGGGCTCCTAACAGCAACCTTCTTTGTCCCTGCAGTGTAATCCAGTGATGATTGATGCCATCAAAGTTTCTGCTGCTCACAGGGCCCGATACTTTTGGGGCAACCTACCTGGGATGAACAGGTAACAAAGGGCTCTTAGTGGGACAGGTAACAGCCAAGTTAAATATGTGATAACAAGCTCTGACGTTCAAGCCTTCCTAGAAAGATCTGGCTCTGCTGAGAAACAGTTAGGGTTTCAGACCACCTGTGGTCTTCCGGGTTGATCCCTGTTAAGATGTTCAGCAAGTACCTGGGAATCTCCTTAGGAGTTCCACTCTTACCTGTTGTAAGCTGCCGATGGACCCGACCTTCAAAGTCCCAGGTGGCTGGGCGTGGTGGCTCACGCCTGTAATCCCAGCACTTTGGGAGGCCGAGGCTGGAGGATCGCTTGAGCCCAGGAGTTCTAGACTAGCGTGGGCAACAAAGTGAGACCCCGTCTCTACAAAAATATAAAGAAAAATAAAAGTCCCATGTGCTGTAGCCAGACTGTGTACCTCCTTCCTGCCAGGGATCTCTCAAGACTTGAGCTTGTTGATGCTCCTGCCCTTCACTTCTCCTCCCCATTGCTGTAGGGACAGCCGACTGGAAATGGAAGTAGATTGTTGTTAGCGGTGCCTTTCCTCCTGCCCCGGAGATGAAGCGATCTTGGCCAGGCTCATGGTGACCAACCAGGTGGCAGAGCTGCTATGACAAACAAAAGCCCGAAGACTATGTCCCTCACATTCTCATTACCAGGAGCATTTCATATTTTGTTATATACTAAAAACAGCAGTCTTCTTCAGACACGCTGAAAGCCACAAAGCAGCCTTGCTGAGGATTAATTATCTCCTCTATATGTGGTTTCAAGGAGAAGAACTTGCTAATTGAGATGTAAAATGTGATGGTAATGTGACATCCCAGACTTGCAAATGAGTTGAGCTTAAAACATTCTCCTGTAGAAGGAGGCGTGGAAACTGATCCTTAGTGAAGTGTGGACAGAGGTTAGGGTCCTGGGGTAGCTTGGAGGATTTTTGTTGACCACCTTGCCCGTGTACTTGGTTAGGCAGCCAATCTTAGGATACCATTTCTGTGTCTGGAATTAAATGGGTTAATGCCTTCAACATTTGAGCTCCCAGTAGGCCGGCACTGTTACACTGTTGCCATTTTCATGGTTAAATACATCATGTCTATCTCGGCTTTCATGATAGTGACATGCTGAAGGGGGAGGGAGAGAAGACAATGATTTGGGGTTTATTGCTGGTGGATGGGCATTGGAAGGGAAGGCTTCTCATTCTAGCGAGGGCCCTAAGTGAAGGGATGGACCCATGCAGTTATTAGAGTACTGCAGGTGGAAGGAAGAGGGTCTGGGATGATGGGAAACATCCCCAGACTAGCTCAGAGCACCCTATGTGGGGTGCCTGGGAGAGAAGGGCCAAGTAACTTGGGCCTTAATGTGGTACCGCTGAAATCACTTTGACATGGGAAGTTCCAGATGAGATGAATTGTGTCTTAAGTACACGGTAGTTTCTGGGTGGATTGTAGACAACAGCAGGATGTAGTCGGGAATGGGGAGAGAGCGAGGTGACCAGACTGCTCAAAGAAGGAGAGATCACTGATGATGATGTTGTGCCCCAGGAGGTGCCATCCATAAAGAACACAGTGTGAGTGGTGGCCCCTGGAGTTTGCAGCACAGCAATCCTGTGACTTAGCAAGGAGGGGTCAGATTCAGCATATCTGGAGGGTAGGACATTTGCTGATGTATTGGATGTGTAGGCTGTGAGGTGGAAGGATCAGTGAGGCCTGACGCAGATCTAACGCTGTGACTAAGCTCTGCAAGCTGATACGATGGGGGGCACACCAAGCATCATTTAGGGGACAGACCCAAGTCATGTGGCTTGTTTAGAGCTTAATCTTACAGTCAGCACAAGGTGGGGCTGTGCAGTGTCCTTTTCTTCTGGGCCCTCAGCTCCCTTGGGTCCATGGCGGAGGTAGGAGTGGGGATAGAGGTGGCATTTGAAGCCTGGCAGGTGAGGTCAAGTCTAGGGGAAGTATGTGTTGTGATTTCCTTAGCCCCTCTTGTAGGCACGGTTCCCATTCTCATATCTGAGTTGTTTGGCCTTGACATTCCTAACACAGGTTACTATGGCCGTCCCTGCGTCCAGTCCTCTTGCCCCAGTTTCTGCTCTGGAGCTGCTCAGCTACTTTCAGTTCTGGCCCTCACCCTTCTTAGTCATCTGTTTGCCTCTCTCTGCATTTGCTAAATACTTTTCAAGGGTGAAAGTTAAAGCGGTGCTTAGTCTTTTTTTTTTTTTTTAACCTTAAGAGATAGGGTCTGTCTCCCAGGCTGGAGTGCAGTGTTGTCATCGTGACTCACCGCAGCCTCCAACTCCTAGGCTTAAGCGATCCTCCTGCTTTGAACTCCCAAATTGCTGGGATTAAGGGTAGGGACCACTGCAGCCGGTTGCTATTCACTTTTAAAGCCTCCTGAGGCTGTATCCCCAGCAGTGAGCCACCAAACCGTGGGTGTGATGTGATAATTGCATCAGGTAGACCCACAAAAATCTATTCCAAGCTCCTCACTTTAAAATAGACAGGAAGCCCAAAAGGGTAGTGTGACTTGCTCAAGCTCACTCAGTGAGCGGTGGAGCTGGGACCTGAGGTTTCTCCTGCCCCACTCCCGTGCAGTGTTCCTGCTCAATGGGAACCTAACTTTGAAGTCCAGGCAGGGGAACATTACCTCCTGGATGCTGGGCTGTCCCCTTTGGGGTAGCCCATCCTTGGCTTTGGCACACAGGCTTGTGCTCATGCCAGGATCGTTTTCATCATTTATTTGTAGCAAGTTCACCGCTAGGGCACATCTCTGCAACATATGCCCTCACTCCCACCTTGTGCCTAGCAGAGGACCCTCTACAGCTAGTAAAAAGTAATGGGTTTTGGCTGTTCCCAGGCCCGTGATAGCATCAAAGAATGATAAACTCGAGCTGCAGGACTGCTTGGAATACAATAGGATAGCCAAGGTAAGACGAGCTGTGGCCCTCTGGAAAAATGTACTTGGTGACCTCCAAGTGGGGACTTGGGAGATGACCTTGGTGTCTGATTGGTTCCTACACCTCCCCCCACGTGAATTCCTGGTGTTGGGCTTCTTTCTCCCACACAATTGTTCTGTGCCATCCTCAAATACAGAGACCAGGAGACATTCGTGATAAGTAATCACTACGAGGAAAGGCAACTAATCTTTCTAATTTTAGTACTGGATACATAAAGACACAGAGAATTTCAGCTGGCCCTCAGGGAGAAAGGAATCATTAATCCTTTTGCCAAAAAATGAATTTGCTGTCAAGTCATAGAATATGAAGACCTCCATAAACCTAAATCTCAATGTTTGCATCAAGCTAAGATCCATTTTCTAAACTCCAGTTGAGCATTCTCTGTATCTGGGTGGTTTTTACTTTTTACTTAATCTTGCTTGATCAGGAACTCTGGTGTCTTCTTGGCCCCCCCATGTGATCTCATTCATGGTCACTTTTTTGTTTATCTCATTTTCTCTGAGGCTGGTCCTTCCTGTTAACGTCTTGGCATTTGTGGGAAGCACAAAATGTTCTTGTCCCTCCAACTCTGCTTTCCGCTCCCAGCCCTGCCATTCCTCTCCCGCGCCTGCCCTCTCCCTTCCATCTTTCCCAGGTACTTTTTTCTCCCAGCCCTGCCACTCTTCTGCCGCGCCTGCGCTCTCCCCTCCATCTTTCCCAGGTACTTTTTAGCCTCGACCCCACCCAGGTCCCTTCATTCTGTGCTCACTCCATGATGTCGTTTTGTTCTCCAGTTAAAGAAAGTACAGACAATAACCACCAAGTCGAACTCGATCAAACAGGGGAAAAACCAACTTTTCCCTGGTGTCATGAATGGCAAAGAAGATGTTTTGTGGTGCACTGAGCTCGAAAGGTGAGCAAGGCTGCACTTGGAGAGGGAAACTGTGCAGATCAAAACACAAATGGGCAGACATGGGCAGGTGCTTACCTTCATTCTTGATGGCCTCACTGCCCTTTGGTGTTACTGGGGCGAGGAGTAATAATACCTTTTCATAGTTCGCCCTTATTTCCTGACAAAAATGGCGGAGGGGGTGTGGTGGTGGTGAGGAATCTGAGACATGAGGTCATTAGGCCGCACCATCTGTCTGTTGGCTGCACTGCCCTGACATCTGCCTGTCCCAACACGCTGGGACACTACGATGTATGAGAAGCCAGTGAAAGAAAACTCCACAGACATGCCATTCTTGAAGACTTCAGTTTGCTCATTCTATAAATGATTCCTTCTTAGCCACAGTTTATCCTCTCCTTCCCTTTCTTTGGGCTAAGTTTGTCTGTTTTGATGCAAATAACCATCTCTTGGATTTCAGTTCTGTTTTTTCTTTCACTCCTCTGTTTGTTCATTTTGCTTCTCCTATTTTTTAAAAATCATTATTTGCTATAGTGATGTAATTAAGGTTTTGAACATTCCTCTTTACATGTGTTCTGTATTCTGAAGGCTTTGATACAGAGTGTTTTCATTCCAAATATTTCACTTCTACAACTCGTTTACTTTCTTCTTTGACTTACCAACAGTTATATAACAGAGTATAAAAGTAACTTCTGATTAGTATTTATGCTGTAGATTATTCTGTATGGACCCATACCTAAAATGGTTGGTGCAGATGGCTGACATTGTGTAGACGCTAAAGCCAAGCAAGACACAGGCCTGAGGTATCACATCTTTGGCATGTTTCTGAATAACCCACGCAACCATTGGTCTGTTGGGATGACTCTTAGTATTGGATTGTGTACCTGAGTAATACTGAGGTTCAGCCTCTGTGCCCTCTTTCCAGGCCTGGTAGAATCCTATAGAGGAAGCTTTTGGTATATTTGATGCCATCTGCCTGAAGTCGTCTAGCTCAGTCCTTCATCCAGCAGCTGGGTTTGAATAGGGAAGGAAAACTGTGGTTGCTGAGCTGTAAATTGCCTGAGCCTGTGATGACTGAAAATCTAGGCTGTTTTTCAGTGACCTTGTTCCTTATTAAGGAAGTTGCTTAACTTCTCCCATCATAGTGTTTTGAAGATGGAGACATTGCTGGCTGGCTAATTTGGTATGCATGCATTTATTCAAGGAAGGTCCTCTGAGCACCAACTCTATGCCAAGAGTATGGTGTTAGGCCTGCACAAAATGGGGGACTTTGATTTGTGAGCAATTTGTGAGCAAGTGTTCTGAATTAAGGGCTCTGAATTTAGGTCCTGGGGACCTTACTGATGGGACTGAGGGATGGTGAGGGCAGAAGGAGTGAGACCTGGCTGGTTGAGGCTGTCAGCATCCTGGAGGCACTTCTGACTCGCTGTCTTTTTACTCCGGTACCCCCAGGATCTTTGGCTTTCCTGTGCACTACACAGACGTGTCCAACATGGGCCGCGGTGCCCGCCAGAAGCTGCTGGGAAGGTCCTGGAGCGTGCCTGTCATCCGACACCTCTTCGCCCCTCTGAAGGACTACTTTGCATGTGAATAGTTCCAGCCAGGCCCCAAGCCCACTGGGGTGTGTGGCAGAGCCAGGACCCAGGAGGTGTGATTCCTGAAGGCATCCCCAGGCCCTGCTCTTCCTTAGCTGTGTGGGGCATACCGTGTACCTCAGTTCCCTCCTGCTCAGTGGGGGCAGAGCCACCTGACTCTCTTGCAGGGGGAGGCCGAGGTGCCGCCTCCTTGTGCACAATTCAGACCTGGCTGCTTGGAGCAGCCTAACATGGTGCTCATTTTTTCTTCTCCTAAAACTTTAAAACTTGAAGTAGGTAGCAACGTGGCTTTTTTTTTTTTTTTCCTTCCTGGGTCTACCACTCAGAGAAACAATGGCTATGATACCAAAACCACAGTGCCGACAGCTCTCCAATACTCAGGTTAATGCTGAAAAATCATCCAAGACAGTTATTTCAAGAGTTTAATTTTTGAAAACTGGCTGCTGCTCTGTGTTTACAGACGTGTGCAGTTGTAGGCATGTAGCTACGGGACATTTTTAAGGGCCCAGGATCGTTTTTTCCCAGGGCAAGCAAAAGAGAAAATGTTGTATATGTCTTTTCCCCGGCACATTCCCCTTGCCTAAATACAAGGGCTGGAGTCTGCACGGGACCTATTAGAGTATTTTCCACAACGATGATGATTTCAGCAGGGATGACATCATCATCACATTCAGGGCTATCTTTTCCCCCCACAAACCCAAGGGCAGGGGCCACTCTTAGCTCAATCCCTCCCAGTGACTGCAATAGAACCCTCTGGGGAGCTCAGGAAGGGGTGTGCTGAGTTCTATAACATAAGCTGCCATATATTTTGTAGACAAGTATGGCTCCTCCGTGTCTCCCTCTTCCTTAGGAGAGGAGTGTGAAGGAAGGAGCTCAGATAAGCCACCCCCTCAAACCCATTCCCTCTCCAAGAGACCTACCCCCCACAGGCACAGGTCCCCAGATGAGAAGTCTGCTACCCTCATTTCTCATCTTTTTACTAAACTCAGAAGCAGTGACAGCAGTCAGGGACAGACGTACATTTCTCACACCTTCCCCTCATCTTAAGAGATGACAGAGAAAACTGCAGTCAAAGCTCGGTGCTCCCTCTGGAGATTTTTAAATCCTTTTTTATTCCATGATAAGTCATTTTTAGGGAGAATGGGAGTTCAGACAAGCTGCATTTCAGAAATGCTGTCGTAATGGTTTTTAACACCTCTTACTCTTCTTACTGGTGCTATTTTGTAGAATAAGGAACAACGTTGACAAGTTTTGTGGGGCTTTTTATACACTTTTTTTAAAATCTCAAACTTCTATTTTTATGTTTAACGTTTTCATTAAAACTTTTTTTGTACCTGGAGCCACGACGTAACAAATATGGGGAAAAAAACTGTGCCTTGTTTCAACAGTTTTTGCTAATTTTTAGGCTGAAAGATGACGGATGCCTAGAGTTTACCTTATGTTTAATTAAAATCAGTATTTGTCTATAACTGTCTGATGTCCCTTTTCTTCTGCAGGTCAGATGGATGGGACATGGGGGAGGGCCTGGCTAACATGTAAGGGTGAGAGTTTGGAAGTAGGTGATTCATTCATTCATTTATTCAAACGCAATGTTGACCGCAAGCTGACTGGAGCGAGCTTACAGTGTGGTGCACTGGTTCTGCAGCATTGGCTCACCTGTAATCCTAGCCAGGGTGGGCAGATCTTTTGAGCCCAGGAGTTCAAGACCAGCCTTGGCAACATGGCAAAACCCCATCTGTACAAAAAAACCCCAAGAATACAGGCCAGGCGCGGTGGCTCATGCCTGTAATCTCAGCACTTTGGGAGGCCTAGGCAGGCAGATCACAAGGTCAGGAGATCGAGACCATTCTGGCTAACCCTGGAAACCCTGTCTCTACTAAAAATACACAAAATTAGCCAGGCGTGGTGGCAGGCACCTTGTAGTCCCAGCTAAGCTCTGAACCCAGGAGGCGGAGCTTGCAGTGAGCTGAGATAGTGCCACTGCACTTCAGCCTGGGCAACAGAGCAAGACTCCGTCTCCAAAAAAAAAAAAAAGAATCCAGCACATCTGCATCCCCTGGAGGGCTTGTCAGGGCTGTGATTGCTGGCCCAACCTCCAGAGTTTCTGACTCTATGAGTGGACCATAGGAATTTTCAGTCGCGCAGTGGCACAATTACTGCTTATTGCAGCCTGGACTCCCCAGGCTCAAGTGATCCTCCTCTGTCAGCCTCCAAGTAGCTGGGACCACAGGCGAGCACCACCACACCCAGCCTGACCCTAGGAATTTGATGCTGCTATCAAGGGACCACACCAGACCAGTGAATGGGCATCTAAGTCACGGTTCCCAAATGTGGCTTGAGTGTCTGAATTCGTTTAAAAGCTCCATGTGTGGGACACCTGTTTCCAGACGTGTGCAGTTGTAGGCATGTAGCTACAGGACATTTTTAAGGGCCCAGGATCGTTTTTTCCCAGGGCAAGTGGAAGAGAAAATGTTGTATATGTCTTTTCCCCGGCACATTCCCCTTGCCTAAATACAAGGGCTGGAGTCTGCCCCAGATCTTGGGGAACTGATCAAGGTGATTATCACCTCTAGCAAAAGATCCTAATGATTCTCACAGTTCATATGCTTCCGTGGGATTCTATACCTTATTCCACAGCTCCCAAGTTGCCGTGCTGCAGGTCAACAACCTTCCGTAAGGGGGCTAACTGGGAGTAGCCCTGTGGTCCCAGTCTAGCCCGTGTCCTCTGCCTTTTGGGTGGAGTGATTCTCAGCGTGCCCCCAACTAAAATCCTGCCCTTCAATGAGCACTCACGATGTCGGTTGCCCTTCTAAGCCTAATATTGTGACTCCAGTAATCCCATTTTACTGGGATTTACTTCCCTAGGCAGGAGTCCCAAGCCCAGAGCTCATCGGGCCACACTCATCTCCAGCCTTTGGTCAGGGAAAAGGATTAATACTGGTTAATTATCATATTAGAGACAGAATAGCATGATGCACCTGGGGTTCATCCACTGAACATGTCAGACCTAGCACCTCTGAGCCTCCCAGGCCATGTGTGAGTTGGGCTATAATCACTACCATCTCTTAAATAAGGTCAGGTTTCTAAAGGGCCTGGCCCAGCGTTTGGGGATGGAAGAAGCTTCCAGAGTGGAAGGATGAACATGTTATTAGAAAGGAGCTTCAGGACTACAACAGCCCACATGCAGGTTGCCATGGTGAGATGGCAATTAGCAAGCTAGGCCCACACAACCTCCCCTGCCTCCCCAGGTGTTGAGACCCCAGAGACCTGGGCCACCCAATTAAGCCATCTTGTGTACAGTGCTGCACCAAATACCAGGACAGGATGAAGCCAGATAAACAGCCCCGGCCTCGAAACCCCAAGAAAGATGGGCGAGCCCTCCAGGTGAGGAGTCCTTGGCATCCTGGCCTGCTTGTCAAGGTGGGGGAGGGGCTCAGAGGGAGTGTGGGGGTAATTCTTGTGTTTTCTCAAGATGGGGTTAGGCTGGTGATCCCAGGTTCCGAGGCAAGGGGAGAAGGCAGTGAATGTTCTGATCTGGGGAAAGAGGTTGGAGTTTGAATCCCACGTAGGCCTTTGCTGAAGCAGTCTTTGGGTTTGCCTGGATTTGTGTCTGGGGTCTGGCGTGTCACCGTGTCACTTGGAGCAAGCAGATGACTTAACCTCTTGGGGTTTTTCATCTCTCACCTAAAAGGTAGAGATACCAGCCTGGTCAACATGGTGAAACCCCATCTCTACCAAAAAATACAAAAATTAGCTGGGCATGGTGGCATGCACTTGTAGTCCCAGCTACTCCGTGTGGCTGAGGTGGGAGAATCTCTTGAACCCGGGAAATGGAGGTTGTTGCTGTGAGCTGAGATCGCACTACTGCACGCCAGCTTGGGCAACAGAGGCCCTATCTCAACAACAACAAATAAAATGGAAATAATAAATCCTACCTGCTTCATAGGGTGACCGAAGTTCAAAGGCCAGATCTAGGTAAAATGCTTTGCCTGACACCTGGCAGGCAATAAACTCTCCACATATATGAGATGACATTATTGTAAAATGGGACCCATTAATTAATGCAGTGCTAATGACAATGAAGACTGGATGCAGGTAGTGATAGTAACATGCAATGCTTATCAGTAGTAATAGCCTTAGGCCAGGCATTACGGCTCACACCTTGCAATCCCAGCACTTTGGGAGGCTGAAGTAAGCAGAGTTCAGGATTTGAGACCAGCCTGGGCAGCATGGACAGAGTTTCACACCCCCTTTCTACAAAAAAATTGAAAAATTAGCCAGGTATGGTGGCACGCCCCTGTAGTCCAGCTACTCGGGAGACTGAGGTGGGAGGACCACTTGACCTCAGGAGGTGGAGGTTGCAGTGAGCGGAGATTGTGCCTCTGCATTCCTGTCTGGGCAACAGTGAGACCCTGCCTCAAACAATAATAATAGTCATACTTTTTTAAAAGGTAGAGTAATATTTCCCCAGATGTTGTCAGCAGCTAGGCTGACGGGTGTCAACTGTAGCAACAGTGGCATCGGGTGTGGAACTTGTGCCCCTCACCGCCCCCCACATCCTGTTGGGATCCCAATGCTCCTTGCTAGGGTTCCCATCCTGTCTCCACTTCCCTGCTATTTTGTGACCTTGGGTGTGTTCCAGAGTCTCCTTGGGGCTTGTTTACCCAACTATAAAATGGATAATATCAACCTCACAGAACTGATGTGTGGATCAAACAATTCAGTACATGTGAGGCACATGGGAAGGGGACTGAGTAAATGCTGAGTAAATGACAGTGACAAATGACCCAAAAATGCTTTTTTATTACTGTTAGAGAATTCTGGCAACCCTGTGAGGCCTGATTACCATGATTGTAAGAGAACTGACTCCAAAGAGGTCTCATCACATACCCAAGGTCACCCAGCTAGTAGCAAAAGGAGTTGTGCATTGGAATCTGCTCTGGGAAGCCAGTCTACTTTTTCTCTTCGGTCCCACAGGCATCTTTGTTCTTGTTTGTTGTTTTGCTGGAGCTTGAAATTACCTGCTGCCCTTTGTAGCGTTTTGCCTTCCTTCCTAGCTTCCTTCCCTTCCTTTTATCCTGCCTACTTCCCCCCTTTCTTTCTTCTTTTTGTGTAACTTTATTGATTTTTTTTTTCTTTTTTTTTTTTTGAGACGGAATCTCGCTCTGTCGCCCAGGCTGGAGTGCAGTGGCCAGATCTCAGCTCACTGCAAGCTCCGCCTCCCGGGTTTATGCCATTCTCCTGCCTCAACCTCCCGAGTAGCTGAGACTACAGGCGCCCGCCACCTCGCCCGGCTAGTTTTTTGTATTTTTTTTTAGTAGAGACGGGGTTTCACCGTGTTAGCCGGGATGGTCTCGATCTCCTGACCTCGTGATCCGCCCGTCTCGGCCTCCCAAAGTGCTGGGATTACAGGCGTGAGCCACCGTGCCTGGCATAATTAAAAGTTTTTAAAAATCAATAAAGTTGTCCAGGTGCGGTGGCTCACTCCTGTAATCCCAGCACTTTGGGAGGCCGAGACGGGCGGATCACGAGGTCAGGAGATCGAGACCATCCCGGCTAACACGGTGAAACCCCTTCTGTACTAAAAATACAGAAAATTAGCCGGGCGTGGTAGCGGGTGCCTATAGTCCCAGCTACTGGTGAGGCTGAGGCAGGAGAATGGCGTGAACCCAGGAGGCAGAGCTTGCAGTGAGCCAAGATCTCGCCACTGCACTCCAGCCTGGGTGACAGAGTGAGACTCTGTCTCAAAAAAAAAAAAAAAAAAAAAAAAAAGCAACAACAACAACAAAAAGCCAACTTTTAATTAAAAAATATTTAGGCCAGGTGTGATGGCACACACCTGTAGTCCTGGCTACTTGGGAGGCTGAGGTGGGAGGATTGCTTGAGCTTATGAGTTTGAGGTTGCAGCGAGCTGTGTTCCTGCCATTGACTCCAGCCTGGGTGACAGAGCAAGACTCTGTCTCTAAAAAAATTACTAAAAATAGGTAGTTTTGGACTTACGGAAAACTTGCAAGAATAGTAGAAAGAATTCCTAAATACTCATCACCCAAATTCCCCAGATATTAACATATTGCCACATTTCCTTTGTTATCTTCTCTATATATTAATACCATTTTTCTGATCTCGGCTCACTGCAACCTCTGCCTCCTGGGTTCAAGTGATTCTCCTGCCTCAGCCTCCCAATTAGCTGGGATTACAGGTGACTGCCACCATGCCTGGCTAATTTTTCTATTTTTAGTAGAGATGGGGTTTCACCATGTTAGCCAGGCTGGTCTGGAACTACTGACCTCGAGTGATTCACCCGCCTTGGCCTCCCAAAGTGCTGGGATTACAGGCGTGAGCCACCGCACCCAGCTAATGTACTTTTAGTAGAGACGGGGTGTCTCCATGTTGGTCAGGCTGGTCTCGAACTCCTGATCTCAGGTGATCTGCCCACCTCAGCCTCCCAAAGTGCTAGGATTACAGGCGT